CCTGCCTTACCTGCAGGCCGGAGGCGTGTCGCAGCCTGTGTTTGACAAGCTCGAGCAGCTGTGCGGCGCGCTGGCGGCGGGCGACGCGCGCACCGCGCTCGAGGCGGCCGCCGCCCGAGCCCTCGCGCGTCGCGCCGCCCGCAACGCTCACTTGCAGTGTCGCGCCTATGGTCGCAGGTGCACGTCCACCTGACGACGACTGATTGGGCCGACAACGGCCACTGGCTCATGGGGCTCAAGCGGCTCATCGAGCTCGTCGGCAAGCTGGGCGTCGCCCTGCAGTAGCCACGCGCGGGCGTGTGTGGGACGGTTTCGCGGCGGGAGGCCGGTGTGATGACGACCAGACGAGCTCGGGGAGGATTGCGCGACTCAGATTTTTCGGTCTCGCCTGTCGGTTGGGAGGTGCGTGCGCGCGCGCCGCGCGGCTGTGCACGTGCGCAGGGGGGATGCTGCGCGCGCGGCTGTCGTAGGATGAGATCCCCGCGCTTGTGTAGAGCTATACTCGCTTCACGGGGAAAGGTCGCTCGACACTCTCGGCTCACTCCTCGCTAAAGCCGTACGGGAACCGCGGCGCGATTCGGGGGTTGACACGCCCAAGTCTCGCATCCCCCCCCGCGGGGTCCAATTACGCTCGCAGCCACCTGCGACCTGGGCACCGCACACTCCTGGCGTGCGCCCAGCACTCTGGCTACCGCTGCGCGCGCCGCTCCTGGTACCGCGCGGTGAAGAACCCGCAGTGGTACCACGCCATGATCAAGTTGGCGAGATCGTCGCTCTCGTCCGCCGCCGCCGCCGCGCCGCCGCCACTCGCGTATGCGGCGCCGGTAGGCGGCGGCGAGGGCCAGCTGGACGCCGCCGCGCCGCCGCCGGCTCCCTGCCACTGTGGCGGCGCGGGCGGCGGTGCGTGCGCGGGGCACGGGCCTCCGGCTGCGGCGTGCGGGTGCGCGGTCTCCGAGGGGGCGGCGCCCTGGGTGGCAGGAGCGCAGCTGGTCGCACCCCACGCCGCCGCCGGTGGCGGCGGCGGCTGCTGCTGCTGCTGCCACTGCTGCTGCTGCCACTGCTGCCACTGCTGCCACTGCTGCTGCTGCTGCTGCTGCTGCTGCTGCTGCTGCTGCTGCTGCTGCTGCTGCTGCTGCTGCTGCTGCTGCTGCTGCTGCTGGTATGCGTACCAGCTCGCCCACGCCGCCTCACTCCCGCCCTCACCGCTGCCCGCGCCACGCTCGCCGCCCTGCGCGCAGCTGCCACCACCGCGCCACGCCGCGGCCGCTGGGGCCTCCTGGCCGCCACGCGCAGCCCCCGTGAGCTCCTCTTCGCCCCCGCCCTCCTCCTCGCCCTCGCCCTCCTCCTCCTCCTCGCCACGCCGGCCTGCGTGCTGCCGCTCTGCGAGCTCCATCGCCGCAATCGCCTCCGCCTCCGCTTGAAACTCCGCCTCGGCCTCGGCCTCAGCGCGCGCGAGCGCCTCCGCCCGCCCGCCGTCGTCGCACGCCGCAACCCTGGCTGCGCCGCGCCGCCGCCCTGCGCTCGAGGTCGCTGGGGTTGCCTATGGGCGCGGTGAGCTCCCGTCTCCGCAGGGCCGGTGCGCGCATGATGGGCGGCGGCTGGCCTTGTAGCTGGCGATGGCGCGGTCGTAGGCTCGGATGAGCTCCGTGTCGTCCCACGCGTCCTTCGCTGAGAGGTCGATCTGCATGGCGTGGAAGATCGCCAACACCGCCTGATATGCCGCTGCGTCCACAGTGCGATGCGTGCTGCCGCGAGTACCCGCCTTCACAGCCTTGTTATTGAGAAGAAAATACCTGCTATGGCGCTGTGCGCTGGCCTGTGAGAGGTTGAGGTGCGAGCCCTGGAGGCCCTTCACAGCCTTTGCGGATCCCGTCGTCGCAACCGCCGCCGCCGCTGTTCCACCCTGATGCAAGTTGGTGTGGCAGTGGCACCGAGTGGAGTGTACCCGTTTTACTCGCTTACCCACCCACCCACGCCCGCGCGGTTCTTGAGCACTTGAGCACTGGATAGGGTCGGTTCCGCATGGTACGGGACCCCTCGATCGTCTCGCCCACCCTCACTGGTGTGTTCATTGGGGGGGGTCATAACAAACACGGTACAGGATTGAGGTGCACGCTGCAGAAGCAGTGTCGTCCCCCCTCTCCCCGACGGCGATGGCGGTGTGACCGATCGAGCTACAAGAGGAGCTTGTTCAGCAGGATCCGGGTTAGGCTGGCGCACTGCCTCACTGGGCCTGAGATCGCAGCGCCGCTTCCCGTCTCGGGTTTATGTGGGATCGAACCACTCCGGGATGGGCAAGCCCATCGTTCTGAGTTGCGCCTTTCCCTCACCTGCAGGGGACCGCCGAGCGTGTTAACGTGCGCCGTGTGGGCCGGACCGGGCCCGGTGGAGGAGGGGGGAGGGGGAGCGGGGGGGGGCGCGGTTCTTCGCTAAGGTACGCGGCCACACGCGCTGGCGCGCACGGCAACCGGGACTTACACGCGCGACACGAGGGACTGCGTATCATCGCCTGCCTCGGGGGAGAATAGCCGCCCTCACCCGCTGGCTTGGCCTTTATACGTTTTTCTCGCCCAGTACTATCTATATTCTTTTCCCGTACATTCTTTCCGTATTCTTGTCCCAAACAGGGTCTATATTCTCGAATATGCCAAGAATACAGCTCCAAATCGGGCCTATATTCTCAAATATTCTTTATATTCCCGCTTAAAATCGCTGAAAATCGCTTCGACGAAAAGAATATAGAACCGGAAGAATAACGTATAAAGGCCAACGCGCTGGCGTTCATCGAGCTCGGCGGGGCCTGATACGTGTCATTCTGTGCCGGCGCGTATCTTAGCCAACCAAGATACGCGGCCACGCGTGCAGACGCGTATAGCGGTACTCGCGCCACACGTGCAGCCGCCTATCTTGGCCAACATAGGCGGCTGCACTCGCAGCCGCGTACCGCGTGACATACACGCAATGAAACATGCACCTCATACACGCCACGCATGGACCGCGATGTTCCCCTAGATAGGCGCCCACACGTGTAGCGTATGTCCCCTCTGTGCACGTGCCAGCGCGAGTCGCCTCGCCGACGGGCCGTTCGTCACGCGCTCACGCCCCTATGTTTTCTTCCTGTTTTTCCCGGGGAGGAAGAAGCCGCGACTTCACTCGCTCCGCTCGTTTGAACAGCCGCCAGGAGCAACAAGAGGACTCCTCATGGCTGTGGTCAAGTGGGCTTCGACCGGCCTCGGCTGGGGGGGCGGGTTGTCCCGGCTGCGGACGCCTTCTGCAGCCCCCTGGGATGGGGACAGCAGCCCAAAACTGCCCCTCGGCGGCATACAGCACTGCCAGCCAGCCTCTTCCTCCTCCTCAAGGGCTGTACTATAGGCCATATTGCGCCGCCTCCTACTGGCAGCCGGGCGGGCGCGCGCCGCGGGCGCCTCGGCGCGCGCACGGCTCGCAAAGTTCGACCGACGGATTGCTCGCCGTGGCCCAGCTCAGCGTATCGCCGTATTGGCTGAGGAGGTCTTTGCACGCGGCTGTCGATGCGGCTCCACTCTGCTGCAGGCGCCGCCCAGTGCTGGCGGAGTTCGGGTTCAGGCCACCTCGGCCGGGCTGCTGAGAGATGGCCCGGTCGCAGTACTCATGCAGACCGTAGTGGGGACGTGGCCGCGTCGAGTTCGCGGGCATCAACGCCTGCACCTCTGCATTCAGCGCGTCGATCAGATTTAGGTGCTCTCGCATGTTTTGCCGCAGGACCGCTGCGGTTGAATCAGTGGAAAGATATGCCGCCAAGAGATCCCAGCCTGGGTTGGTGCTCATGTAGTTGACGAGAGAGATGTTCGCCCACGATGCCTTGTCGTACGTCGCCGCCAGCTCCAGAAGCGCACTAGATTCCTCACCGTACCCGTGGGCAGCGCGCTCGTGCTGCCAGTGCTGATAGTGCTGCAAGCGGGCGGTGTGCTCGGGGCTGCCGGGCGTGAAGGAGTGCGGCTGAGCGGGATCCGGCGTGCCGCCCGCGAACGCAGACGCGCCCGTCACAGCTGCCAGCAGGAGGGCGATGCGCGCGTTGGCGCCGACAGCCATACACACACACATGTACATGTCACAAGCGGGTTTCGGCCAAGTCGTTCCAAGTGCCCGCCGCCGTGTGTTGCAACCGACATTATTAATTCCGATCAAGGGTTTCAATCTGCAGGAAAGAAAGAAAACGGAACAAGGGAGGGATGGGGTTTCAATTTCCGGCAACGCAGTTTAAAAAAGAAAGAAAGAAAACAGACAACCCAAGGGAGGGATGGGAGGACGGCACGCCGCCACCACACAGGGATTTTAAGCAGTTTACTTGGCCGGGGCTAGGCTCTACGAGTACTTTTTCAGTCCGGAAAGTGAGGGGTGGCCACCCTCAGCATCGAGGTGTGCGCCAAACCACTTCGGCGGCGCGCGCTCCCCTGTGCGTCTGTGGCACCCTCCAGGCCCTCACACCCCCCCGGCATGTCCAACGGCAAGGAGGCTTCCGTGCCGAGTGACGCGGCGGCCACGGACAGACCCAACGGCAGCGTCGGCGCCGCCTGCCAAGCGGCTGCGCGACAGCGAGGGTAGTCACCAATTAAAGGTGGGACGGAAGAGGCACACGACGGTGCCATCGCGGGCCTTCTACACCGCCCGCCGCCGGCCCAGGCGCGGAGCGTTACGGCGGACCTGCTTCAAACCCCAAGACGGAGGCGCTGAGCAAGATTCTGGGCTGCACGCACGCGCATGGCTGCTGCGAGAGCTCGGAGGCAGAGCTTGCTCGACGAGAGCTGCTCGAGCTCATCACTGCACCCGACGTTGACGTTGGTGGCGCGATCAAGCTCTTTCTTCACAGCCTCGCACCTCTTCTTCCCGTCGCACGGCTGTCGCAGGAAAAGGCAAATGACTCGGGTGAGGATGCGTCAGCACGAGTACTATTTCATCGTGCAGCGCAGGCTGGCTCGCCACTACTGTTGGCTGGAGCCCCTCTCCCGCCCGACGTCGGTGCTGGCGCATGACAGGCGATCACTGTATGCATCGTGCGCCTTCCTGTGTGTCGGTCTCCGCACAGAGCCGCACCATGGCGCATGGGTGTCGGCGTGTCGGCCGGGCGCGTCTCGTCAGTCGTCCCGTGCCTGTCCTTTAAACGGCATTTGTGTGGCCCGTTTTTTTGTGCATCGTTAGAAGTGCGCAGGCCTCCCCGAATTACACGTGCGATCGCCGCGCGCACACGACAGTCGACAGACGACACGCGACAGACCAGACAGTACTCGAGACAGAAGGAGACTGCAGACTCCTCGGAGGAGACCGCACACGACCACGTGAGGGGACCACCACTCCACAGGTGACAGACAGCACACTCTTACACACGAGACACACTGATGGGAAAGGACGGAGCGGCGGCGGCGGCGGGAGCGGTGCGCGGGCGGAGCAGCGACCGCCTAGGTGGTCGCTGCTCCGTGCCGGAGCGCGCCGTCTCTGCGCAGGGTCGCGCGTCAGGCCGGGGGCAAGGCTCAAGCGTCCCCCTGGTGGCGGCGCAGGGAAACGCGGAGGCGGCCGGCGGTGGCGGAGACGCGAGCGTTTTGCACGCGACGAGGCGAACGGTGATGGCGCGGTGGGTGACGGGGCTAGAGAACACCCGACGCTCGCAAACGACGTCGGTGCTGGACGCCTGCGTAAGGGCCGCAGGGCGGTCGTGGTGGGGCAAGGCGGACCTGGCTGGGGGCCGGGTGCAAGGCGCCGGCGGGGAGCTCTCCCGGACTCATGTGTGCGAGCGCATGCCCTCCTACCTAATCCGCGCCTCACCACGCCGCTGCATAGTATGGCTTCCGAGGCTGAACCGCTCCGCAACGGTTGGTAGCTCGACCTGCACATTGACAAAGTGCGGTTACCTGTCAGTCGTCGACGTCGCGTGCGAGATCCAATATCGCCGGCCGAGCGATAGCAACCTGAGAGGATAGGGATCCGTGTCAGCATGCCGTAGCCGAGCAGTGCCGCGCTTGTGGCGCGCGCGCATTGGCTTCACCTTCGGTCTCAGCGCTCGGGCCGGCGCCGGGGGTCATGGGGCGACACTCGGTCACGCTCCGGCGCCCCGGGGGGGCTTCAGCGGGCAGTGCGCGAAACCACTTCGCATGGCCACCCGCGACCCCACTTGGACGGCGAGCGCACTTGCTCGGAAATTTCCAGTCAGTGAAACCAAAGTGTTGTTTGGTGCCGCCATTCTGGCAACGAACGCTCGAGTCTGAGAGAGAGATTTTCAATACCAAACAACTCTAACACTCACACGTAATTTGGGGCCTGGAGCCCTGTTGTTGTCGAGTCTGATGAGAGCTGGTCTGGGTCTGGGGCAAAATCTGAGTGAGGCAAAATCGAGGGAACCCGGCAAAATACCCGACTCTCGGGCATTGGCCGGTTTTGCTGATTTTTGCCCCACAAACCAGTGGCTCATCAGACCTCACACAGACTGTGTGACTTTTACTCCGTTTTAGTGTGAGAGACTCGCTCAGAGCTCGGAAAATTGATGATTTCCACGGAAGTTTCCCCGGGAAACTAGAGAGGAAACGAGAGGGTGCTGTAGAGCGTGTAGCTGTAGGTGGAAACAACACTAACAAGAGAAACGAAAAGAGAGGGGGTGCGCGAGGAAACATGTGTTCCGAGCCTCACCCGCCCGCCACTACGAATTCATGCCCTAGATGAAGGAGGGGGTCCCACAACCACTACACAGCAGGCCGGAGCGCAGGATTGTCACACGATCTGACTCTCTCGGTCTCTGGCTCACAAAGGCGCACAGATGGTCACGGGCCGGCTGTGCCTCAACCGCTCATGCGCAGCAAAACGCCCCACGGGCGGCGTGGCGCCGCTCGCATAGGCCTCGTCGTCGCCGTTGCCGCCGCCGCCGTGCGCGCCGAGGTCGTCGGCGAGGGCGGGCCACTCCACCTCGCCCAACGCGTCCAGCATGGCGCGCAGATTGGCGTGTCGCGCACTGCCGGGCTCGCGCGAAGGCTGTGGAAGGCAGGGGAAGGGAAGGCTGTGGAAGGCAGGGGAAGGGAAGGGAAGGAAGGCAGGGGGAGGCAGGGGGAGGTCGCCAGCTTGGCCGTGCCTTGAGCGAGCGAGAGGTCGACGTTGGTCTGGTCGAGGTAGTTTGCCTACTCACGGCTAGGAAGTGTCTAGGAAGTGTCTAGGAAGTGTCTAGGCGACGTTGGTCTGGTCGAGGTAGTTTGCCGAGACGGCGCAGGTGGCGGCGAGGTTGGTCACCTCGTGGGGCGTGTTGTGCGGGATGTAGAGCACCTCGCCGGCGCGCAGCTCAAACTCGAGCCGCCGCGCCTGCCGCAGCGACGCGGCGCTCTGCGCGTCGCTCTCGAGCTGCGCGAGCGGTGCGAAGCGATGGATTTGCTCGGGCGCGTCCCAAGTGGGCGAGAGGAGCGGCGCGTCGTCCGGGTGGAAGGTGATCCACCGCTTGGCGCCCTCGCCGAGGTACATCCAAAAGTTGGAGCACATCTGGTCGACGTGCAGAGCAGAGGTGGTGCCGGCGCCGCCGACAAAGAGCGAGGGCGTGTCATGCATGATCGAGAGCCTGCGCCGCGTGCGGTGCGCAAAGTCGTGCAGAAAGTAGGCGGGCACCGCCACCTCGTCAAACAGCCACGGGAAGTGAATGGCCAGAGGCACGTCCGCGAGGTAAAGAGCTTCGCCGGCGTCGAGGCGGCCGAAGAAGGAGGCCGCGCTCATCGTGCCGTGGCCCCGCACGGGCACCGCCATGTCCGCCGGAAGCAGGGCGCGCAGCCGCTCGAGGGAGAGGCCTCTGGGCGCCAGGTGCGGGCCGAGGCCTGTAATGATGAGCGGACAGCGCGATGCGGCGCAGTGGGCGCGAAAGGCAGCCACGGAGAGGGTGGACCAGTGCCAGCGCGTCACCTCGTACGTAGGGTCGGAGGCGGCGCGGCAGACGCAGACGGGTGGGGCCGGTGTCGGCGCCGGCCCTGGCGGCAGCTTTGGCGGCGTGGATGGTGGCGGACTCTGGGACGCAGGCAGAGGGCTGGTCGTGGCCACGTCATCCAGCGCGGCACCGCCGTCCAAAGAAGGTGTTTCGCCAATAGACTCGCCATCGCTGCTGTCGTCGCTGTACTGGAGCGCTCCGATGCAGAGCTCGTCTGCGGCGAGCTCGCTCAGGGCCGCGCCGGATATCATGTTCCGCGCTCGGGGCCGCGCCGAGCTCGCTCAGGGCCGTGCGAGCTGGCCGAGAGCAGCTGGCGCGCCTCGGGCAATTCGGAGATTCTCTTTTATGCCCGTTCAGCCTCTCCGAGAGACTGCGAAAAGAGAGAGGAAGAGGCAGACTCCCTAGGGTGGGCGACG